AAATTGTATTGCTTTTAGCTCAGTTGTGTCGTCATCATATATATATATTGTTGAACGTACTGCGTGAACCGTAGTTCATGACGAGGTGCTCATTTCATGATTTTATGAACTGTAATTAATTCCTTAGTTGGGAACAACCACGATTTAACATTTTATTCTCCGACACAAAGTTGTATCAATCACAATATTTTAGGCGATGTACCACACTTGGCGACCTTTTGTATCAGGTAAACTGTATGTGACTCTGGGGAAAAAAAGGGATGTTGAGTCGTATAAACATGACGTTTTGTATGTTAATATTGATTTGCTTTTACTGTTGGGTCGAAATGAAATAACAGAATTTCATATTTCTGGTACCTGAAAGTAAAAGTGGATTGTACCAACGATAGAAAAAACTACATAGTTGATCGTTTCACGGCGTAAATAGTGCTATTGCCACAACAACGCGGGATTTATATTCTGGTTTAAACCGGTTCGAACCGGTCTGAACCGTTATTTTTGTTCCCCAGAACTAAACCGGAACTGAACCGAAAGCCATGAACCCGAACCCGAACCGAACCGATAAAAATTTTGGTTCGACACTCTGCTTGAGGGACAAAACATATCGTGCAAAGGTATATGAGGCACAATAATCTAGCGTCCTGAGCAACAAGGAATCGTAGCTAACAATTTTCCAACGTTTGCCCTCCGTGGAACCCTTGCTTATCTTGCCTAAAGTTCTAATCTGGCTTGCCGATTCAAGGTTTCTGGGAGTTCCCTTAAGTAAGATTGTTTGTTTTGTCTGCCGAATTCGTTAGTTCGTTTCGAAATAATATCTCTTCTGATTCCCTGGATATTCGCGCGCGCAATACGCGATGTTTCTCATCGCAATCATCCGAGCCGCGCCTGCACGTCGCTGGCTTGCAACGCTTCAAAATAAATAAACCGTACAAATTATTGAAGTGACATGTTTCTGTCGTATGTTTTGGTTTTAGAACTTAGAATATATAGCGAATCGCTGCATCAGTTCTGAAAAGAATAAATCTATGATATTTCTCTATTGAATGTTCCCATCCACGATAGCGTTTGACACCATACGCACGCGCAGTGTAACAGTGTAAATAGAATTACATTTTGTCTGAAGGTTGCTGTAGGAACCTTTTCGTAAAACAGAACACAGCAATGTGGGCTGTTACAGCCTACCTGGAGGTTTTGCCTGAGCGTCATCGTTCGGATTAGACCTGCCTTCTCGAAAAAGAGCTGCCTTCTCGAAAAAGCAACACGGTGCGACTTTTCTTAATAGTCTTCCCAAAAGTCACACCATATGTCTTTTCGGAAGAGGAAGGCATGCTAGGCCACGCATACCTTTTACTCCCTCAGTTACTCTCTCGGCGCTCTAAAGTTCATCCCTAAAAGTGCCAGGATTGCTCTCAAAGGGAACGAAATTTACTCCCCAATTAAAAGCATGCAAGGTCGGAAGCGTGTGTCTCAAACTGTCGCGTGCGGCAATTCGGAGCGGCGTTCGGACTGTCGGATCGGACGATTCTGCCGTCCATGTGTCTCGCGCTTAAAGGGGCACTGACACATCAAAATCATATTTTTTTTTATTATCCGAAACGATTGAAAACGATGCCGGGACATTACCCTCAAAATTTGAAATTTTGGAATTCAGTATTTGTGAAGTAAAAAAACAATTTCCAAATGCCGAATTCGAAGTTCCCGCGCGATCGGCGCCGGTGCCTTGACGTCAAAAATTGAGGAGACCTGAGAGTCGACTTTCTTTCACCACCCCCTGCTGTTGCCATGGCGACCCAAAGCGAGGAGGAAAGGAGTGAGCGCAAGTGAGCGGCGGCGTTGCCGCGGACCGGTTTTGAGCGGTGTCGCCTGTTTTCCGTTGGAGGATACAAATCCAGGAGACGGCACCACAACGAACTCCCGATTTTTGGTATTTCAAAAAGAAGGGCCGCAGTGCGTTCGCAATTGCGTTAAAAAACATGTTTTAGGATTGCCGTTATTAAATGTTATAGAGATGTCGCCTACAAAGCTTCTAAATTTCCTGATTTTTGACGTCACCGATCAAAAGAAGCGAGGAGGCGAGAGGCGGGAAAATCAAACGCCAAAAATAAAAAGGCGCGCGCGCGCGCGGGAAAATTTTTTTTCGCGATGCGGTTTTTTTTGCGTGTCTATGACTGCAACTTGCATCGTTTTAGACAATAAAAATAAATACGACCTTTGGGGTGTCAGTGCCCCTTTAAAGCGCGATCCAAACCAACGCGTTTTTGTGCGCGCGTAGGCCGTGCGCTTCCCGGAAATTGCGTATTTCGCGACGTCGCGCTGATTCCTTGCGCCTTCCTGGCGCGCATAAGAAAGTTGGATAATTTCAACTTTTTCTGAACGCGCACAAAAACGCGCCGTGACGTAGTAGGGCGCGCCTCTCCCGACCAATCGGTGAAGGGCACTAGTTCCGGCTCCGCGTTTCTTCGCCGTCTGGCGCAGATGCTCTCCGCTCGCCCGAAGACGCACCGTGGCACCGTCCTAACGAAAGCGCATGGTTGTCTCTCGGAAAGCGCCCCGGAAAGTGAAAGAACCTCATGAAATACACAATTTCCGGGAAGCACATGGCCTACGTGCGCACAAAACACGTTGGTTTGAATCGCGCTTAAACGTTCAGCCCGGCTCAACACCTTGCGTTGCGAACGAACACGAACGGCACGGCGGTTTGGTGCTTAGTTGCCCGGACAACTCGTCGCTTCAACCGGTTGCATTCGTTCGTAGTCGTAGCGGTCTCTCTGAACGCAAGTGTGTACACGGGCCTTTCTCCACAATTGTTAGAACGACGAGCTTAAGAAACCACAACTGATACCCGAACGGGCAAACCCCATCCCTGAGGCTTTGCGGTAGGGAGCAAGAAATCAGTTGTAAGAGAACAAAATGTTAGCCCCAAAAAGCTTCAGCGCAAATGAACTAAACAAAGGAGAAAGTGAAAACAGCTATCTCCACTTTAGGAGATCCCTCCCAGTGATACATCGCAGTTACTCCCCAAAGGGACGAACCAATACTCCCTATTTTTAAGAGTATACTTTTATTTACTTATTTATTTATTTAAAGGAACAACCTGCAGCGCCGAAGCATTATAGCAGGTAAGTACAGCCTAGTACAGTAAGTAGTAAGTATAGCCTAGTTCTATCGAAATAAATGCTAGTGCATTTAAAATCGGAATCCCTTCCTGAGAGAGGCGGCCCCATGTTAATACTTATAATAGCAGACTTGGGCAATACATTCCACTCGGTGATAGTGCGAGGAAAGAGTTAATATTTCTTGTATTTGACGCGACAAAATAGTTTTTTTTTTATTTTCGTTGAATGATTTACGCGACTGGACACAGTTTGGTAATTCTAAATAACCATTTTTGTTAATTCCTGTCGGGTTTTTAAAGACAGCATGCAAAAACTAAAAAAAGACAGTTGTGGTTGGTGTTGTTGTTTTGCCTTAAAATAATGGTTTCCATCCAGTTGTGCTTTTAATTTCTGTTACACTTTCACTACAATGTCCCGAGACAAGCTTTGCTTCAAGGCTCTTAATTTTTTACAGCTTATCTATATGATACTTTTGGTGCAGGTCCCACACTACGCACGCGTATTCACGTGTCGGTCTCACTGAACAGCGTTAGGCTGTTTTCTTAAATTGTTTTTGTAGCGCTATGCACATTACGAAAAAGAAAATTTAATGTACAGCCAGCTTTTTTATTGGTCTAACTGACATGAACATCAAAACAAAAAGCGCTAGATAAATTAATCTACAGATGCTTTACATCAGTGCTTTGATTCAATTTCTGACCAACAATGACACAACATGTGAGGATAAAGTTACGTTTCATCCTAGGAGTAGAGTGGACACACTTATCAGCATGAAGCCATAGTTTCCAACCCTTGCACCACTCAGAAATCCTATTCAGATCTGGTTGCAAAAGAAAAGAATCACTAACACTTTCTACTCTGCTGTATGAACAAACAATCGTCTGCAAACAGCCTCACAGTCGATGTATCATTGATGAACACATGAAATAAAAAAAAAGGCTCCAACACTGACCTTGTGGCACGCCAGAGGTCACATCAATAAAATTAGATTTTTTCACCATGTATACCATAACTGTTTAGTTTAATACCATTTTCAATCCAACGGTATGACCAAAGTTAAGGTACTTAATTTATACGACAATGAAGGGTGAGACACTTTTTCAAAGGCTTTACGGAAGTTCATGAAAATACTATGCGTTTCACCTCCCCTCTAAGCAGCTGGATCTGTGTCGTGATAAAGTTTAACAAGCTGTGTCACGTATGAGATACCCTTTCTAAAACCACGCTGAATAGATAAAAGAAACTGTTTGTGTCTAAATGTTTCACAACATTACTATATACAATGTGCTCTAAAATGTTACAGCATATATACAGCTCAGCGAAATGGGGTGACAGTTTTCAGTGTTTTGTTTTAACCCACGCTTATAAATTGGTGTCACATTCGAAAATTTCCATTCATTTGGCTGGACACGTCCTCTTCTAACGATTCATAAAAACTAATCTGTAAGCCGCTTGCGAAAACTGATGAGGAAACTTCAACACTTTTGGTGACAAACCAATGGGTCCTACCGCCTTCTTAACATTAAGGTCTCCTAAACATTTTCATATATCTTAACTCTTTAAAACTAGGGGTGCCCCATGGGACTGGCTGTCTTTTCGCTGAGGGGAGGGTAAGGAGAATGTTTGGCGTTGCAGGCAAACAGAAAGTGAAATTTATTAAAACCGTTTTATTTACTGCAATTTTACTCACCTCAATATTCGAATATATACCTCTTTATTTGAATAGGTGGATACACTTCATTATGTGGTGCCAGTTTTTTTTCTTTATCTATCTGTTTTGAATTTTATTTTTGCAATTTATTAGCCGACCCCTAAAGAAAAATAATAATTTCTTATGTTATTCTACTCATGAGTAGCATAAAATACGAGTTTGCGTCTACTCACAACGTTGACGTCAGTATCGTCCTCCATGGCGACGTCTTTCTGAAACGAACAAGTTACCGAACAAGCTTTGAGAAAGGCTCGGCTTTGATAAAGGCCAAGTGGTCAAAATGTGTCAATGTCTTCATTTCTCAGATGACACTCACAGGAATGGCAACTGAAACAACAAATCAAGTAACATAGCAAAACACCATACGCGCACTGGCGAGCTTTCATCTCAAGATATTTGATACTTCCGTAATATGTCGCCAGTTTTTACAGATCTTCTACGTTATTTTTTAATTTAGAAATGCGTCTTAAAACAGAGTCGTTTGGTAAAAAGGAAATAGCTTTCATTAATGATTGCAGGCGCTGCTTTGCAACAAGAAGTATGAGAACGGGCTCCTTTAATAACCAATATCCAGGGGGAAAACATGTAACAATGCGCGACAAACGCGATTCGACATTCTCAGTTTTATTTCATTCCATTTTACTCAGACAGGTTGATGGCGGAAACCAAGCATTACCGTCTAAATTGGCGCTTAACATGAGCAGATTCCACTGATTTCTTTTTTAGTCTCCGCTCCTACGGCGGCCACGCTGAATGGCTATAAAACAGTTTTACAGCGAAGCTGTATATGACTCTTTGTTCGTTTTTTTTTTTTTTTTTTGTGCCCGTCGACAGTACAGTAGTCGACAGAAAACCATCGTGCGCGCGCTCCTTATCCCCTATCATGGGGTTTTGACACTTGCTTCAATAAGAAAACTACAAAACAAGTGTCGAAACCACATGATAGATGATAAGGCTCGCGCGAACAACGCGAAGCACGTAGCTCTCCTCGCATGCGTTTCTCGGTAAAGGTTGCGGTTGCATAAGCTGCCGCGGCAACGGCAGAGTACGAAGTGGGGAGTGACGTCACCAGCCCCGCTAACAACGCGAAGCACGTAGCTCTCGCATGCGTTTCTCGGTAAAGGTTGCCGTTGCATAAGCTGCCGCGGCAACGGCAGAGTACGAAGTGGGGAGTGACGTCACCAGCCCCGCTAACAACGCGAAGCACGTAGCTCTCCTCGCATGCGTTTCTCGGTAAAGGTTGTGGTTGCATAAGCTGCCGCGGCAACGGCAGAGTACGAAGTGGGGAGTGACGTCACTAGCCCCGCTAACAACGCGAAGCACGTAGCTCTCCTCGCATGCGTTTCTCGGTAAAGGTTGTGGTTGCATAAGCTGCCGCGGCAACGGCAGAGTACGAAGTGGGGAGTGACGTCACTAGCCCCGCTAACAACGCGAAGCACGTAGCTCTCCTCGCATGCGTTTCTCGGAAGCGGGGAGTGACGTCACTAGCCCCGCTAACAACGCGAAGCACGTAGCTCTCCTCGCATGCGTTTCTCGGTAAAGGTTGCGGTTGCATAAGCTGCCGCGGCAACGGCAGAGTACGAAGTGGGGAGTGACGTCACCAGCCCCGCTAACAACGCGAAGCACGTAGCTCTCGCATGCGTTTCTCGGTAAAGGTTGCCGTTGCATAAGCTGCCGCGGCAACGGCAGAGTACGAAGTGGGGAGTGACGTCACCAGCCCCGCTAACAACGCGAAGCACGTAGCTCTCCTCGCATGCGTTTCTCGGTAAAGGTTGTGGTTGCATAAGCTGCCGCGGCAACGGCAGAGTACGAAGTGGGGAGTGACGTCACTAGCCCCGCTAACAACGCGAAGCACGTAGCTCTCCTCGCATGCGTTTCTCGGTAAAGGTTGTGGTTGCATAAGCTGCCGCGGCAACGGCAGAGTACGAAGTGGGGAGTGACGTCACTAGCCCCGCTAACAACGCGAAGCACGTAGCTCTCCTCGCATGCGTTTCTCGGAAGCGGGGAGTGACGTCACTAGCCCCGCTAACAACGCGAAGCACGTAGCTCTCCTCGCATGCGTTTCTCGGTAAAGGTTGCGGTTGCATAAGCTGCCGCGGCAACGGCAGAGTACGAAGTGGGGAGTGACGTCACTAGCCCCGCTAACAATGCGAAGCACGTAGCTCTCCTCGCATGCGTTTCTCGGTAAAGGTTGCGGTTGCATAAGCTGCCGCGGCAACGGCAGAGTACGAAGTGGGGAGTGACGTCACTAGCCGCGCTAACAACGCGAAGCACGTAGCTCTCCTCGCATGCGTTTCTCGGTAAAGGTTGTGGTTGCATAAGCTGCCGCGGCAACGGCAGAGTACGAAGTGGGGAGTGACGTCACTAGCCCCGCTAACAATGCGAAGCACGTAGCTCTCCTCGCATGCGTTTCTCGGTAAAGGTTGCGGTTGCATAAGCTGCCGCGGCAACGGCAGAGTACGAAGTGGGGAGTGACGTCACTAGCCGCGCTAACAACGCGAAGCACGTAGCTCTCCTCGCATGCGTTTCTCGGTAAAGGTTGCGGTTGCATAAGCTGCCGCGGCAACGGCAGAGTACGAAGTGGGGAGTGACGTCACTAGCCCCGCTAACAATGCGAAGCACGTAGCTCTCCTCGCATGCGTTTCTCGGTAAAGGTTGCGGTTGCATAAGCTGCCGCGGCAACGGCAGAGTACGAAGTGGGGAGTGACGTCACTAGCCGCGCTAACAACGCGAAGCACGTAGCTCTCCTCGCATGCGTTTCTCGGTAAAGGTTGTGGTTGCATAAGCTGCCGCGGCAACGGCAGAGTACGTAGTGGGGAGTGACGTCACTAGCCCCGCTAACAATGCGAAGCACGTAGCGCTCCCCGCATGTGTTTCTCGGTAAAGATTGCGGTTGCATAAGCTGCCGCGGCAACGGCAGAGTACGAAGTGAGGAGTGACGTCACTAGCCCCGCTAACAATGCGAAGCACGTAGCGCTCCCCGCATGCGTTTCTCGGTAAAGCTTGCGGTTGCATAAGCTGCCGCGGCAACGGCAGAGTACGAAGTGGGGAGTGACGTCACTAGCCCCCCTAACAATGCGAAGCACGTAGCGCTCCCCGCATGTGTTTCTCGGTAAAAACTGTGGCACACGGTAAGGTTCTCCGTTCTCACTGTAGAGAGATTCTTAACTAACGTTACTCAACGCATGACCCATGCTCGGTGGTTAGCTGACTTGGATTGGTTGACTGACTTGGAAAAAGTTTGGTACAGTGTATTTACTTTTATTTGTCAATCATTCGTCAACCAACACAAATCTCCAAACACAGCTAGGTGAGAGGTGCGCGACCGAAAAATCCGCCTGGTCCTGGTATTAAACCAGGGACCTCTCGAGGACCAGGTGGATTTTTTTGGTTGCGCACCTGTCACCTGGCTGTTTTGGGAGATTTGTGTTTGTCCTGTTGTCCCCTTTGTGCCGCTTTTGCAGAGATTATTTTCTCCATTCTTGCACAACTGGCTTGCAAATTTGCATTAATTGCATTATCATCATAACCTTAAAATGCAGGCCGTTCACCCTTGTTAGTGTTAGACTAATGGCAGCTGATAACACCTATTTGCTATACTGACATCTAATTCCTGGTTAGCTTAGTTGATAGTGCGCTCCACTGGAAATGGAGAAGTCCCTGGTTCGATACCGGACGAGGCGAATTTTTTTAGGTAGCGCACCATGCAGTCACCTAGCTGTGTTTGCAGATTTCTGTTTGTCTTTTTCCCTCTTTGTTCCACTTCTCCAGGGATTATTTTCGCCATTCTTCCCCATCTCGCTTGTAATTTTGCATAAATTTCATTATGAACAAAGGACACCTTAACACCGCTGCTTGAAATGAAGATGAAACGTTTAGCCACTAATTATCCCGGTGAACGCCGAAAGAACGAAGGAGTGAGAGATCAGTTAAAATGTTTCCAGTATTCTTGTAAACCAACTTGCCTCCTTCAAGATGCAATATTGTACAGCCGAAGGCCCTTGTTAAACCTATAACTTTGTTGTCCGTGTAGCATTTGTGTTTTCTAGCACTAGTGACATAAGCAAGCTCAACAGGCTTGCAAAGACGGTGCGACCGGAAGTCGCTTGGGACGCAGAAGGCACTTCATGTTTGGAAACAGCAAGAGGGTCTATACCAAATGATTGACGAAAGAAAAGTAAATGCACTGTACCATAACTTTTTTTATATATGAAATACTTAATTTCGTACGCTGCCGTTGCCGCGGCAGCTTATGCAACCGCGATCTTTACCGAGAAACGCATGTGGGAGCGCTACGTGTTTCGCATTGTTAACGGAGGTAGTGACGTCAGCCCCCCTCCTTCGTTCTCTGCCGTTGCCGCGGCAGCTTATGCAAGCGCAATATTCACCGAGAAACGCATGCGGGAGCTCTACGTGCTTCGCATTGTTAGCGGAGGTAGTGACGTCACTCACCACTTCGTTCTCTGCCGTTGCCATGGCAGCTTATGCCACCGTTATCTTTACCGCGAAACGCATGCGGGGAGTGCTACGTGCTTCACATTGTTAGCGCGCGCCTTATCATCTATCATGTGGTTTTGACACTTGTTTTGTGGTTCTCTTATTGAAGCAAGTGTCATAACCATATGACAGATGGTAATGCGTGCGCGAACAATGATAAGGCGCGCGCGAGGGTTTTCTGTCAACTACTGTCCTGTCGATGGACACGAAAAAACCCGACCAACGAGTCATATACCGCTTCGCTGTGAAACCGTATGGTGCCTATTAAAAATGCCTACCGTCGGACCGGAGCTCTGATTAATCCACTTTCGGTTGTGTAAGAAAACTCGATAATACCAACGATCGCCTGTTCGTACTAACGGCGTCGCGCTGTATGCGCGCGAGGATGGAGCCTGAAGGCCTGCTTCACACATTGGCGTTTCCCTGTGAAGAGTGTGACGTGCTGTGATTCGTTGCAACCGCTGGCACACTGGCGCCAGCTACTGGGTAGCTTTGGATCATTTCTGACCGGCCTACTTATTTTTACGTTTTTTTTGTTTTTTTTTGTTTTGTTTTATGCCTAATTCTTTCAGTGTGGACTTGAAGTAATTCTGGCAATGTTATAAGTAAAGATGCCGCGAACCATTTTCGAACCTTGGTTCGAAGATCAAACCGAGGGGTTCGAAGGGTTGGCAAAGTTTTGAAACGTCGATAATACCACGATTTTCGAACTTTCAAATTTTTGGCGCTGTGAAAATTGTTTGTTTTCGAACTTCTGATTTTTCATGCTGTGAAATTCGACATTTTCGAACTTATGAAGCTAAGCAATTCAACAATTCGCGAACTTTCAAACCTGATGAGTTTAAAAGTTCAATGAACTTCGCACTGCTGAACAAAAGTCCGACAAAGTTCGAACTTCAAAGTTTTCGAATTATTCGAATTTGAACCTTGGTGGAATTCTTCTGAACTTTACAAGTTCGAACCTTGGGGAGGTTCGAAAATTTCTAACCTTTCGAACCTGAACTTCGGGAGGTTCGCGGCGTCTCTAGTTATAACTTATAGGCGACCATTTCACATCAGTAGCGCGTTGATTTAGTCTCGCGCTGCAAAATCTTCAGTCAAGTTATACACAGATTGGAATAGTTCCCGGTCCACCCACTATATGGTGCTAGTGTGCCGGCGGCTATACAATAAATCACATTATACTCGACAGAATCAAACGCCATTGTGTAAACCGGCCTTTACAGTTGATTCGCGGTGAGAAGCTCGCAAGGTGCGCTTCTGTTTTGCTCACTCTGGGTAGTGCACGTGCTATCCACTCGGTGGTGCTTTAATTTTCATAGTGCACAGAAGCTTGGCATTGCACGCGCTTGCACCAGCAGAGGAAGTTGTAGTACCCTCACTCTGGGTTGTGAAAAAATTCCACTAGGCGGTGGTACCCAAACTTCTCGCCGCGAATGCGCTGGAGGAATATAGTGCTTTCCATGTCTTAATTGTGAATGTAATATAATGTCGTTTTAAAGGCGTCTGTTATTAGCGATTTTGGTTGGGCTCTCTTGTGGTCCCCCTGACCAGAATTTGCCTTGCCCTGATGTCACGAGTTGTGATCCTGGCTACTTGTCAGTTGCGGACGCCGTGTTCGAGAGCGCGTGTGATTAAAGCACGGTGGAAGCTTGGAGTCATCGCGTTTTTGAACCCAAACCGGCCAATTTGACAGTCTGAAATTGCAGTTATTTCCGTCCATGAAATCAGAATTTATCCCACTAATGGGGCCTAAGGGCCCCGGGTGCCGGAAGGCGTAGCTACGCCACTGGTGACTGCATTGCTATATTTTTTTTCCTCGCTCGCGGAAATGGAAATCGATGATAAGGAAGTGACACTAGCATCATACTATTGAGCGGTGTGGGTTTCAAGCTCTGTACGGCTGTTTGCAGGTGGGTGCTCCCTGACTAGTTTACTGTGCACTACAGTTTTTGTGGTTGGGTACTTACAATATCACTGGGCTGATTTAAGCGCGGTGAACCTACGGCTGACGCTTTTGCATGTAGCGTGTCGCTGAGCGTACGTTCTCCTCTCGGGAGACTACTTTCTAGGGCCATAGCTAGTATTTGTTGCGTTCATGTGGTGCCGCAGTACAAAACAGCACAGCTTGATTGCATAGTTTACACACAACCGCACCAATATGCAAAAAAAAAAAGAAACAAATCACTGCAGGTTCACGGAAACCGCTAAAAAAAGTAGGAAACGCAGGAATCATCTGTAATAACTACTTACACAACGAAGGAAGGGCACGGAAAAAAAAAACACCACCGTTACGGCGTAGCCGAGTGTTGCTTGACTACTAAGAACGAGATCGCAAAAGAAATATTATTGTGCTACAATAAAAAAAGTACGTGGATAGGAAGGAAGACACGTTTCTGGTATACTCCGCTGGTCGCCTGCTAAAGGCATCTGGTCTTGTGTTTATTATCAGTTTTTTGGTGGAGTACGCGGCTTCACTTTTACGTAACATTTCGGCGGTGATCATATTTCGTGCCATAAATCGATATTAGTAATTGAACTTGGTTCGATTTTTGACCGGAGTTGCCCTTTAAGACATCACTGTGAGCGTTTGGCCAGTCGTGGAAAGCCAGCCGTATGGCACTTTTGGTCGCGCAGATCCTTTCGCGCCTTCCGTTGACTTTCCATGTCCCGCTGTTCGTCCGATTGTTTTTCTTTTTTTTTTCAAACCCTTTCATGGTAATTTAAATTGTGTATCGTCATCTAGAAAACTTCTCAAGCACACAGACTAAGGTAGTAATTGTGAACGGAGTTTTGAACAAAGCACAACTCATGAGCGCCCGCAAGAAATAATTGTACCCGGGGTTTATCTCTGTTCATGTTTGAAGAACAGAGTGATTCCCAAAGCTCGTCCTCCCCCCCCCCCCCCCCCCCGCCCCCCTCCCCTCAAATGAACAACCAGAACCATGGTCAGGGTTCCAACGCAGTTCTATCGCGAAAAAAACAAAACGAGGGAATGAAACCAATAATTTCGTGTTATTCACCCACGTTGTAGCCGCACAAAATGCGAGCTGAGCGACAAAATCTAGAAAAACAAAATTAAAACATATCTCAAGCCAAGAAGTTGAGATACCGAGATATCTCTACCTTAGAATTCACTTTACCGCGTTTCTTCGCCCCTGATAGTTCCATATGTCGAGAAACGAGTGGCACCACAAAGGTTGAGCGAGGGACCGCTAGGAAAGCGGACTACCCGCGACCACTCAAAATGACAACCTATTATACTGCAGCGAAGAGACAGGGGAGCGCTCGAACTGCGCAAATCACTTGACACGCACCGCACGCAACACCCATGACTCCAACTTGGCCACTTGTGAAAACAACAAAGTTGCTTCGAATATCCGAACCTCTTCGGTGATAGGAAAGGCCGGGATTCGCCGACACTCCGCGACGCGCGCGACGACGTGCCGTTCGCTCGGCTCAGGACACTAGCGATAAAGCCCCAACGCTGCACGGCCATTGCAGAAGGATTCAGCACAGCACGCGCTGGCCCAATGAGATTAAAATGCGGTCCTTCTGGGTCCGGTTACAGTACGGCGACGCGTTCGAGCAATGCGGTCGTTTCTTTTCGGCAATTTAGACTTACCTGTCGTATGGCGGCGGCCTGCCGGAAGTTGACCTTTGATGCTCCGTCGCGCTATCGCTTGATAAGGTACTGCGCGGCGCTCCGCTGGAGGGCGCCGCGCTCAGCCTCGGTTTTCGTTTTGTATTCCAACGCGGTGCCGTCGCTGTGCCTTGTACGAATTGTCGAACATTTCTAGAGTACGTTTCTATTTGTGGTATTGTTCGAGTCAGCAGGAAATACATTCCTTGCTGCTTTTCTTTTTATATTCGTGATATTTTGTGGGATTTTTTTTTTCGCGTGCGACGTTAGTGTGTGATTTCAAGGTACGTTGTGAGGGGATCCAGACCATGCAGATAACGATATGGGTGTGGTTCGGAATCCTTGTACGCGAGCCAGCCGTTCACTACGTGTACCTTACTTGGCGCGTGTGGCGAGCATTGCTTAATACTGGCGTGCGAAGGGCAGCGTTAACGCCTGTTCCCTGATAGTGTGGCTTCGCGACATTGCTCAAAGACAAACTCTCCTTTATGTCTGGACGAGCGTAAGAACACGCAGATTGATATAACTGCAACACTGGGGTCGTAGTCACGTCGTTCAGGTTTGACCTTGGAAACTCGGCGAGTTTTCAAATTCAACCTGTTACTTAAATTGTGGGGAAAAAACAGAAGAAAAAAGACTTACAGGCAAATTTAGAAAAGAGCGGTAGTTTTTTAAAAGTTATTTTTTATTTTTTATTATTTGAACACAGGTTTGAACACACTCATCGACACCCTCCCCCTCTCCCACCCCCGACCCCGGTTTCGTTTGAGCTATTTTAACGTAGTATACGTAAAATATAGGAAAGGCCCACGTGAAAAAGAGACACTAAAAAACGACCATTTCTCATAGATAGATTTGATCCTGCAAATAGCGCCAAACCTAGTTAAAGGAAGTTCCAAGGTCAGCACACAAATGGCGCCAGCGTTCCAATGTGTTGTCATATGAGAGCTCAAGAACTCGGTCCTAAGCAAACGCAAGTGCGTGAACGGGCCTAGAGTGTTGGTACGATTACACCGAGATTTACCGACCCAAAAATGCATTACACGTTTTTCCGTGACATTATTCTCAATATCAATAAAGTCTCCAGTGCACTCGAGCCACATTTTCAAATTTCGGAGTTGAAAAGACCGAAGCAAAATACAAGAGCACCACATCTTTGGAAAGCGCAGTCTTCATCTCAAACAAAGCAGTTTATCGATTTCATCTATTTACAAACAGTTCCAAGCAGGGTGGAGGATAAAAATCAAGATTTAAATCGTGATTTTTACCAGGCTGTGCTAAGTGTAACGATTTATATCAAATCTTTGCCGCAAAAATAATCCCAACAATCTATTTTTATTCATCGATTGTCTATCATTTGATGCTATGTGCATTTGTTTCGTATTTAAATCGCGGAATCATCAAGGAGGAAATATTGAAATCAGGTTGAACATAAATAGGTTCCAAAAGCCAGGGGGAGTCATAATGAAACAAGTTTACTCTGGCTTAACACAACACAAAAGACAAGAACAACACAGACGTTTCGCCACCTATCCGGATGGCATCATCAGTGTGAACTGTTTCGGTGCACGGTGGGGAGATTCAAAACCAGACGACTCTCCCCACCACCGGGCCAGTACATACTGATGATGCCACCCGGATAGGTGGCGAAACGTCTGTGTTGTTCTTGTCTTTTGTGTTGTGTTAAGCCAGAGTAAACTTGTTTCATCAGGTTGAACACGGGCACAATGCAGTGGTCGTCTAAGCAAATCGGAACGTTGAGGTCTCTTCCTACCATTCACCTCGTTCATCAGTTACGTTACGCCCTTTCCAGACTTGCACGCAACGAGTTACAAGGAAATGATTGCTTGCAATCAATTACATTTTATCGCAACTTTTGAACGCTTCGATTGCTTTTTCTGCGGTAACGTTCGCTGCACTTCAGTTACAATTATTTTTCTGTAATCAATTACAAGTAATCAATTATATGTTTCTGACAGAGCTACGATTATTGAGTTAATTGCCTCGACTCAATCATTTTAGCTTTTTCGAAAACATATATAATTGTAGGCGACCACTAAAGGGCGTCACCTGGAGCTTCATCGTCTCCTGCCAGACGAGCTCAGTCGTCGCTGCTACGGTTGCGCAACGGCCGCCGTCTCTGCTGACGCTCCGGGCAAACCGTTCCCTGACGATTTTTTTTCAGCTTTTCGCTGCCCCCAGCTGAAACGCTTTCAGCAGGCGGTCGCAACAAAGAAGCGCTTCGCTTCCTAGAGGACTCGGAAGCGTCCGTCGAAGCACTCGGCAACCACGAACTGGCACGCAAAGTGTTTATGCGCTACAACACCACTCTTCCCCGAAGCGCATCCATCGAGAGGGTCTTCAGCGTCGCGGCAGATATCTTCACTAGGAAACGTGGGAAGATGACTGACAAGAACTTCAAACGACGACTGCTGTTGAAGTTTGAACAGGGTGTGTATGACAAAAAGAAAGTAAATATGACCACTTTGAACATGTGTATGCATTTTTGATTTCGTAATAAAAAGTTTAAAAGTAACGTGAAAAGTAATGAATTATTCTGGTAATGTGTGAATTACTTTTGTGATGCAGTAATTTATTACTGTAATCAGTCATATTTTAATCAAGTAATTATAATTGTAATTGGTTACTGTTTTTTCAGTAACGCGTACAAGACTGGCCTATTGGGAGTAAATAAGAACGCGAAAAAAAAAACTAGCACTACAAAAGTAATGTTATATCTATTGAAAGAAAAGCAGAACGCAAATGAAAATGCAAACAAAGCTTTTTCACTCGTTTAAAATATCAATCTTTTTTTTTTCCTACTCTGGCGGGGTTTACTTAATGAAAAGTTTTTAATTAAACTTTACTTTAAATTTACAGTCTTTCTTCTACATTATTTTCAGTGATCGGACGGATTGATCAATCAATATCTTATGTTTAAAAATACATATTGCGATTGGAATGCATTATTTTATGGCTACAGTGATTTAAATCAAATTACTTTGACTCAAATCAAATAAATCTTATTTACATTATATTTTCCAAAACATCATGATATTCTTCCACCCTGGTTTCAAATCACTTCTAGCCCACACTTTGCAACGTCGTCGTTTTATGTGAAGCGCCGTAATGAGCGATTACTTACGTCCAGCCTCAGTAGTTGGACTAATTTGTGCTGCCGTTCTTTGAAGGCTCGAAGAGGGCGGATCGTGACACCAGTCCTACGAGACGAAGAGCATCACGTGCAAAGCATTCAATTTGTCGGCAGCCTATTAAACTCACTACAGTGCAGGCAGATTAAACCGTATATTTATAACTCCAAAACGTTGTCGAAGAGCAGCGCCTACAAGGTGCACCGCAACGAAAGAAACTAAACTAGGACAAGAATAGTAAATATGACACGAATTACCTTTATGTACACGCTGGGACGACCTCGAAGGCCATAAATGCGGAGTGAGCGAGGGTGGTTTTGAGTTTATCGGTCAACGATCGTGCTCTTTTGAGTTGAGTCGTCGACGGAGTTGAAACACACAAAAATTACGCTAGCAAACGATGGCTTACATGCAAACCGATAGGGCTGAAGAAAGAAGTCTACCCTAGCTCCTTCCGGCTGGTATGCCGGAATCTGGAAGGGGGAGATTACACAATGCGCTTATTTCGGAAGAAGACGCCAGCGACGATGATGCCTGTGTGACGTTGGAAAACCGTTTTTGAGACAAATTAGTGCGTGAAATGGCCACGATTTCGTTTTAATGCTATTCCAGAAGAGATTTCTTTCCTGCTGGGTATTGTTATAGCTCGAACATTTTGTTATTGGTTAGCGTATGCCGTAACCTCAAACTTGCTACACCCTCCGTAAAACCGACTAGCGTATACTACTCCTATAAGATCGAAGTTAGAATACGCCTGACCGATGTGCTCCCCGTGGCAGTCCTACCTCGCAAATAATCTAGAATCCGTCCAATACAGAGCCCTTCGTTTTGTTTATAACAACTACTCACCATATACCAGCATATCAGGATTACGCCAATCAGCTAACCTTCATTCGCTTTCCCTTCGCCGCCGAGTATCACGCCTTTCTCTCCTCCATCGAATTTTTTATCACAATAGCCACCTCAAAGAATCACTGCTATCACCTCCCCATTGTATTTTCCCGCGTCTAGATCACCTATGGAAATTACGTCCAATTCGATCCTCAACTGTTTCTCACGAGACTTGCACACTACCATTGGCCATCGAGGATTGGAATTCACTACCTCACAACATCGTTTCTATTAATGATACTGCTAAATTTGTTGAAGCCATTACCCTCTCTTTATCTAGCCACTAGTTTACAGTGTTATAATTGTGTTAACTGTTCTATTTTTGTTTTGTTCTATTGCCACCCCCCTTGTATAATGCCCCACAGGCCCTCAAGGAAAATAAATGATGATGATAATGATGACGATTCCACTGATCTAACACTGTGTGGCCCATATATCGCAAACTTTCATGGTTTAACATTCAATAAAGTCAGAAGCCCTCGCATGTAATCTTGTTTTCTGTTCATTCGGAGATTTGAATGTGTATCTTTAAGCGGAGAATGTGTAGCAGTTTTCTCCGGCGGATCCAGAATATTTTTGCACGAATCGATTCTGGAACGAAGGAACGGGCTCCGAAAACATCAGTGTTGGCATGGCGCCTACGCAACTCTCAAAATAAGAGACAGTTAGTCCGTGAACTCCGTATATATAGTTTGCAAGGACAAGTCTGCTTTCCAATGAAAGAAAAGAGTTACCTCCTCCTCCTTAGATGCACAACTGGCCACATCCGTTCATCGAAGAAAAGCCAAGCACTCGGCTCACACCCCGTCATCACGTACAAGCTTTATTGGGCGTTTGGCACACAGTAAGGAGAGTAATAAATAAACCCGCAGGCCGAGGAGTACACATGAGTCCGAGCGCGCACGGCTCAGGTGACGACGACCCCCTTGTGAACGCAGGCGCCCTGCGGAGCTGCGCGGAGCAGCGCCGGCCACAGATACGTCCGGATGTGATCCGACTCGTGGTTGGACGTGTGGAAGCGCACGTGCAGGTCCCGCCGGAATACCCGCGTCTCGTACTCGATGCCGAAGCCCTGCACCGTGAGGGCCCAGGCGAGCCGCACGCAGTCCCGCACGTAGCGAGCCAGGCCCTGGCAGCCCTTCAGGCACGGGTAGTCGTACAGCGTGGCCCAGATCTGCGCGCACACCTCCTGCGCGCGGCCGGCCAGTGCAAATAAACACGTCAGCCGCCGCGTTGTTGTTACAGTTGGCGGGTCGACTGTTTGCCGAGCTTTATTTGTTCGGTTGAGCAGAGCTCACCGGCAGTCAGATCGGTTCGAGTCTCCGCCCAGTTCTGCTGGCGCTCCCGAGCCCCGATATGGCCACTCCGAGTCAACCCCGGTTAGAGTATACTGAGGTCGTCAAGCTCTGCACCGCTTCTCACCCCTGAGACACAGTCACCCCAGGATATAGTCCCCCCCCCCCCCCCCCTTTGCTTCGCTCTCTCTTCCCCGAATACAACCAAATTCGACTGTAGGCCAGGCCGCGCAGGTCGCTGCCCAATTATATATATATTTTAAGACAATTTTACTTGTCACCATTGCGCCTGGGAATTTATTTTCTCGCCGTTTCGCGGGGACGCTTGATTTATGGTGAATGGCTTTTTCGTTTGTTTGTTTTCTTCTTTCGATAGGTTTCGAAAAACAAGGAAAACGATGGACAGCGGTTTATACAACTGGTTGTGTATATGTATACTTCTTGCTTTCGTTTCTTCATTCGACCCGCAGCTACAAAAAGTTTCCTCGCACATACGGTGAGGTGCATTGCCAAAATTAGAACGAGAGAGAGAGAGAGAGAAAGGAAAAAAAAGGGGGGGGGGGTAGAAGGGCTTGTGGACTTGAAAGTTGAAACAGAAGTATTCACGTTCGTTTGAATGTTGTTGCTTTTTTTTTTTTACTTTTTATATATTAGTACAAATGTAACTCACTCGTGGTATGCTTGTGAAGAGTGCATAAAGTTTAAAGGCAACATTATTTTATGGTTCCTTGATTGTTTACAGTTTCTGTGGGTGGAGATGCACACAATATTAAAGAGTTTTAGCAGATCGTTCCGTTAGCTCCGATAACGACACCCGATACTAAACCGGTACCTTTACGCATGCATCGCTGTCGGGGTCGTTATCGGAGTTATCGAAACGATATACCAATAAAGTGAAATGAGATATGCTGAGCTTCAATTCGACATGGTGAACTGCGATTTCAGTGTCCCAATCATATGCGCGCAAGTATATATTGTTCGTCAAGTCGTACTTTAGCATGTATACCAGCATTATGGTCACAAACTTTGCCTGCTGGCCGAAAATGTAGCTTCTTCTTTCTCTCCCTCAGGCTGTCAAACTTACGTCAACGTGGCGGGACACGTCGAAGGCGTCCACGGTACTTCTGAGGTAGTCCTCGACGCTCGCTTCCAGTTCCTTGACTCGAGGCTCGCTGCTCTGCGCCGGGATCTGGAGCAGTCTGCGGACCTGGGACTTGATCTCGGCCACGCCGGATTGGACTGACCGGAAGCCCAACTGCGGGGACATTGTGGACCCATGGGACTACGCATAAGATTGCAAAGAGCCGTCTCCGAAGCGGCCACTTAGGGCACTCCGACGGTCTTTCGGGTCGGTCCGTTCGACTCGGCAGGAAACACCGTGTGCAAAACGCCACGTTAGGAAAACCCCCAGTCTAAGGAACAGACACTGGACAACACACACCCTCTTTGTTCCATCCATCTCGGGTTTTCACAATGCTGAAAGTTGTCAAGCTCGCCTGTCTCTTCTCTGATATATGGCGAAACACTGTTTGTGGCAGCGAACATTGTATACACTATTTTCTGTTTTCCATTTTGCTCAGAGAGAGCATTGACGACCACAAATCTCTACCGCATAAGTCAGGGCCGAAGTCCATGATGGCAGACATTTAATTCGAAAAAGAAAAAGAAAAAATGCTGCAATCGCTCGTTAGTGCTATCACTGTCGTGCTATCTACATTGTAAGTAAGGCCCTTCAAAGTGTGTGTGGTTGTCTTGCAAGTAGCGCCAAACGCGCCAAAGCACGTGGTTCGTTCCTCGTGCAGTATTTGGAAGCGAATGGGGCCGGAGCACTCGCTCGTGGCACATGTCTTGCGCGTTTGCACAACGATGGTTGGTGGTACTTGAAAGAAACGCCAAACGTGAATTTGACCAAGTGGCTTAAATCGCGATAGCTTTTTCCGGAAAATCCCAGATCTCGTGGCGAGGGGAATTATGGGACTGTTACCTTCCGATGTACGCACGTGCCGACTCGAATGCTTCGTTTATTTTGGAAGCAGCGCGATTCATTATATTATTAGGAGCCGAGTACACAGGAAAAAAAAAATGAAGCGAACTTAATAGGAGGCCATTACATACTCTGTTTTGCTTTCCTTCTCACTTCGCTGCTTGAAATCAAAAAATGTCAAACCAACTTCGTTTTCGATTCCTAGATAATCTTACGTTCCGTACCGTCGGAACGTCACAATGCGTCCAGCGGTGGGGGCGACACATTTTTCCGGAGGGGTTTTTGCTTGGTCTCCTTTCAGAATTGAGCTTCTGCTTTAATATTATAGTGGCACAATAGACGTCTTCCAAAACTCGAAGCGCCCCATCGCGGCGAAATTCCACACAGTGCACTCTGGGAACTAGTTGGCCACTCAGTTTGGGTTTCGATTGAGGAGCTTCAATTCATGCTATCACACTGTGACCGAATTCGCGGTTTGCGTTTCCTATTGTCCGACTTCCCACGAATGTACTTCCTTCTATATTGCTCGAGAATGCTCTAAGCATTCTCGAACAATATAGAAGGTGTTCCTTCTCGAGCAATATAGAAGGTCTTCCCCGGTCTTTCTTTTATATTGCTCGAGAATGCTCTAAACATTCTCGAGCAATGTGGAAGGAAGACCGAGGCACTTTTTTTGGTTTCCGACATGCCGGTTGTTGTGCCTGTGCAGGGATGGGCAAAATACATGCAAATATGTATCGAAATACAAATACAAAATACTTCGTCAAAAATGTATTTAATTACAGATCTAATTACATTTCCAAAAAAAGCATTTAAGTACAAGATACAAATACAACCAAATGTATTTGATCTCCTCCAAATACTTTTCCAAATACATTCCTCAAAATTTGCGTCAGCGACTTCAAGGCACCTGCAACGGGTTTCTGGGTATCTCATTTTAATTTTGTATCGCACACTCGGGAGGTAGTGTGTGAGGCTCTAGTAACGTAATAGAAATATAATCACAAAAAAATGTAATCAGCTTGGACGTAATAGGAGAAAAAAGTACAGAGCTTCAAGCAGCTTTTTTTGTCGATTACATTTTGGTATAGACCAACAAAGAACCGAGACGACCAAGACGCGCGTAGCTATAGAATTTTTTATTGTTGCAACTCGCACCAGTTACGAAAATCTGGACGACCCGCGAATTTAGAATGTTCCAGGCAAAAATATGGATGGAAATAAGGTTGGAAAGCATCACAAGTTGTCACAGGCACTTATTTAGTCAGTCTGCCTGTGAACGTCGATTTCGTCACTATTATTGCCCTGGACTAGCACCGCAATCACAAAGTCACTAAACGCTTGTGCTTCATTGAGAAACACTGCATTCGGTGCAGAACGTAGTTTTCTTCCTGCTCTGGACAGTGACAATAAATTTGAGGGATGTATTTTCGCCCACAAAATTGTATTTAATTACAATTGTATTTGAAATACCCATGTATTAGTATTTAAATATACACGTCATATACATCACCCAATTTGTAATTAAATACAAATACGAAATACACAAAGCATTTGAAATACGTATTTAAAATACTTGTATTTGAAATACTGCCCATCCCTGTGCCTGTGTATGCAAACGTAGTAAGACGTGACTTAATTAGTCTCCTCACCCTACGATTGTACCTTTGAGCTCACTTTCGATAATCTTATCTAGTACCAGTCAATTTTAGGCCTTTGCGTATTTTGTTTGCCAAACGTCCACTTCGTGTTAGTTCATTGAGCGAAAAACAAGCGGCATCCTCACAGTTGAGCCCAACGTTGGCGCATGAACGTTTAAGAAAACGCAATAAATTCGCCCTCACAACTACACAAATGTTACTATGAAGTCCTCCTAGTGTCATCATATATCTCCTACTAAACTTTTATGCCAATTAGAGGTTAAGTTTTCGCAAACGCCAAGATCGGCTAGCTACGACGGAATCCCTGATAAGCGTCCCCTACTCCTCACGAAGCCTTTACCGAAGCCCAAGATCTGTGTCTGAGCAGTGGTTCTGAAATTATCTCGGCATACTCAGTCAGGAAGAAGGCAAACATATAACAAGTATTAGGGCCATTAGCAAACGCCAAATGCGCTAGGGAATTCTTTAGTTCATTTGGCGCACCGCATGGGGGTTCACGGCTTATACGTGCTGTCCGCCGAACTGTGCGACATTCTTCACGCAAGTGATCGACTGTTGCTTTCTTCAAAACGGTTTGTATGTGTGAATGTGCCTATATTATTGGCAGGATAACTTCATGTGATATTGAACTAGTCGAATCTAAGCGTGAAGGGACTTCACTTCGTGCAGCTGCTGCAGTGGTCAGTACAGCTATAAAGGGATAAGAAATGTTTTTTTTTTTTTTGTTTTTCAATGGCGTCTCCTAGTTTTACCATGCGTACTCGGGCGTATTAAGAAAAACAGTAATTGAAAAAATGTAATTTCGTCAATGGACGCATAAAACAAGTAAAAAACCTCCTGACCAGCAAAACTAATGTAAAGTTGCGAGCTCGGTGTACGCGAACTTATTGGTTGTTACAGCGTGTTGACTCGTACACAAGCAAGATCCCCGAGCTTTGCAACGTCAAGATTCTCAGCACTGGCTCGTCCACATATCTCGAAATGCTAACAAAAAGGCTCGAGGACAAAAATGAATAAGCAAGAGTGTCAAGACAAGCTTTACGTATGATTCGGGCTTGTGCTGAAGCTTCGAGGTCTGGCCATTTAGGTCAGTTTAGGGACCCAAAACGATGCGCTCGGGACCAGGAAACAGGAGAGAACGGTTGTTTATAATCCACGCTTCTCTTCTCGACGTGTCGATCGAAAACGAAACCATGCCGCTCTCTTCCCTGACCATCTAGTTCCCAGAGTGCAACGCGCGCAGAGTTGCTCGCACAGATTTATGGAGGTAGTCTATTGGGCCAGCGGGACACTGCAAAGCTGCGGACGAAAACTTTTTTTTTCTTAGCATTTTGCATTGGTTTTATAGACCCTGTTACTTTTTACAAACATGAACTGCCATTGCCTCCCGAGCAACTTCCGGTCGCTCAGTCTTTGCAAGCCTGTCGAGATTGCTTAGGCCACCAATGCTAGAAAAGATAAATGCTACACGGACAAAAAATATTGAAGATCGGAGATTTGACCACGGCTTCCGCTTGTATACTTTAACGTCTTGGAGGTGGTAAGATGGTTTACAAGAATATTCGAAAACTTTTAACACATCTCGCGCTTCTTCGTTCTTTTGGCGTTCACCTGGCGCAGGGGTCTCAAATTCATTTGAGTGTGGGGGCCAGGTAGCCCACCCCCAAGATGTCGAGGGCCACCATAGGGGGGGAGGGGGGGGGGGGTAATATATATTAGGACAAAAAGAAACAGCGTTGGTTCTTCACGTTGCAAAGCGGCCGAGTCTTTTAGCGACACCCAGAGATTTCCTACAATAGGGATCTGGTTCTATTTGCTTTTTGTGAAATGTATGTTTTGTTAGTGCCGTCTTTAGCCTTAATTTATTCACGTAGGTAAGCGCCAAAATACACAGGAAAAAGAAAGTAGACGGACAGAGTGCCCTTGCCTGTCTACTAGTCTGTGTTTTTTGTTGTTGTTTTTTCTTGGCACTTGGCGATTACGTTTTAGGTGGCCCAAATTGCAACTTTAGTTTATTCATACAACTACTTCGGGTTTGTATCTAATGTGACTACAAGATTTAAGATACCATCCAACCGACGCGCCGGAATTTTTTCATATAACTACACTCTAAGAAATGCCAGGGCGTCTACTTACCCGCAAAACACTCAAAAGGCAATCTCTGTGATCTACGAAATCAGCTCAGCGATTGATGAGGCGGAACATTCATTTAGACCTAAAAATGAAGTCTGCGCTGTGGCATTACGCATTGCAAAGCTTCAGGCTTGCATTGCGTAAGGCCGCAACGCAGACTAAATTTTTAAGTCTAAAGAGATGTTCCGTCTCATAATTCGCTCGAGCTGATTTCGTAGATCGCAGAGATTGGCTCTTCGAGTGTTTTGCGGGTAAGTATAGATGCGCAGGCATTTCTTAGAGTGTAGAAACCATGCGCGCTATCGTTACTATGTCGCTCCATTCACTCGGGAAGTATCGGAGTTCAGCATGTCTCGAAAGAAATTCTTTTCGTACGGTAGTTTTTCCTAACATTCGTCGATCTAAAAGAAGCAAATTAGTTCTAAATATTTTGAGATGCCATAAGAGAAAACATATGTTTTCAGTGAAAATTAATGG